AGGGTCAATCAGTTTAAAAATAATAATGGTGATCAACAAGACTCCAAAGGTATTCTCTGTTCATCTTGGATTATAGACACTTGAGGTTACTGATCATGTAGCTTACAATAAAAATCATTTTTTAACTTTTACTAAAATCAGACTGTGCATGTGAAATTACCTAATGGTAATCATGTCATCTGCTGAATATGTTGGCACGGTTTGTATTTCAAACAGACCTTACACTCTATAATGTTCTTCATATTCCCAATTTTGAATTTAATATAATTTCTGCTCAAAAACTGATTATTGATTCCAATTGTAAATTGATTTTTTCTTCTAACCATTGCCAGATTCAGGATGTTCTTACATTGAAGATGATTGGGCATGCTGATCTGAAAGATGGCTTGTATTGTTTACGTAAACAAGATACTCGCTTTTTTCTTGGTCTCATATTAATAACATCAGTAATAATAGTTCAATTGTGCCTACTCGATGACAACACCAAGTATTAATACTCGCAGCAGAAATTATTCCACTTCCAATCTTTGGCACAACATGATTGGGACATCCTTCTAGCAAGATAATTGAAAATATGATTAAAGATTTTCCTTACATTCATAATAGCACTGAAAAAATTTGTGATGTATGTCATTCGGCCAAGCAACATAAACTTCCCTTTAATAACACTATTCATGTTTCCAAGTACAATTTTTTAAATGATTCATATAGATATATGGGGTCCCATTGGTATTTCTTCTATACATGGTCATAGATATTTTCTTACTATTGTTGATGATTTCTCTAGACACACATGGCTTTTTCTTATGAAGAATAAACATGAGACTAGGAGTCTATTGAACAATTTTATTATCCTTGTTAAAAACCAATTTGGTCGTAATATTAAAATTTTCGAACCGACAATGGGAAAGAGTTTTCTTATCCTGAATTCTATGATAAAAATGGTATTATTCATCAAACTTCTTGTGTAGAGACACCTCAACAAAATGGAAGGGTAGAGAGGAAACATCAACACATAATGAATGTCACACGTAGCTTGTTATTTCAAGCCAATCTTCCAAAATGTTTTTGGTCTTATGTTGTTGTTCATGCTATCTACCTAATCAACAGGTTGTCAAGTAAAACCATAAGGAACCAATCTCCATTCCAAATTCTGCATAATCAACTTCCTATTCTTAATGATTTAAAAGTGTTTGGTTGTCTTTGTTTCACATCTACAATTCATAACAACCGTACGAAGCTAGATCCTAGAGCCAGAAAAAGTGTTTTCCTTGGATATAAACCTGGCACCAAAGGTTATGTGACTCTTGATTTACATTCTAGAGAAATTTCTATATCCGAAATGTGATATTCTATGAAAATGAATTTCCCTATGTTAAAACTAATATTGTTGATGACACTGATCTTTTCACATTGACTGATTTTCAATTCTTTTTTGATTCTAACAATCTCATGCATAAGAAAGTCGAGTCTAATCATGTGCATCCGTTTTCAAATCCTCAAGATATTTCCTTCCAAGTGACGGAAGAAGATATTTCCAATCGAACACCTAACCAGACTGCTCCTCGAAGATCTACTAGAATGAGAAAGGCACCATATTATCTGCAGGATTTCCATTGCAATTCCTTAAGTACTTGATAGACTCCAACAATTCGATTCTTATTGCAATCTTTCAAGAGATGACAACACCAACAAATCTAAAAATAGTATCATTTCTTATCCTCTATCTTCTGTTCTCTCTTATAAAAAAATATCTTCAAAACATTTGAAATACATTCTTGCTATTTCTAACAATTTTGAACCTACTACTTATAAACAAGCAACTTGTTACCCTGAATGGATTGATGCTATGTGTAAAGAAATAAAAGCCTTAGAAGAAAATAAGACTTGGTATTTCACTAATCTTCCCCCTGGAAAGAGAACTATAGGTTGTAAATGGGTTTATAAAACCAAATATAAAGTTGATGGTTCTATTGAAAGACATAAGGCTAGACTAGTGGCTAAGGGTTTCACTCAATTAGAAGGAGTAGATTTCTTAGACACTTTTTCTCCTGTTGTTAAAATTACCACTGTTAGACTCATGCTTGCTATTGCAGCTGTTAAGAATTGGCATCTTGTTCAACTAGATGTCAATAATGCCTTCCTTCATGGAGACCTCAATGAGGAAGTGTACATGGATCCCCCTAGCGTGATACCTCCTCAAGCAAATCAGTCCGCAGCTTAACCAAATCCCTCTATGGATTAAAACAGGCTAGTAGGCGAGTGGTTTGCCAAATTATCTACTTCTCTTCTTTCAATTGGTTTTATACAATCTCAATCTGATCATTCTCTTTTTACAAAGAAAAATGTTTCTTCCTTCACCGCTTTACTCATTTATGTAGATGATATAATTCTTGGAGGTGATTCAATTGATGAAATCAACACCGTCAAGCAATTTCTTAATCAACAATTTTAGATTAAAGATTTGGGACAACTGAAATATTTCCTTGGCCTAGAAGTTGCTCGTACTACACAAGACATTCACATTTGTCAACGCAAATACACTCTTGATATCCTTGCTGACAGTGGTCATCTAGTTGCTCGACCATGTTCTACTCCTATTATCAAGGACACCAACTTGTTTTTCGATGATAATGCTGATCTTTGTGATGCAGATGCTTATCGCTGCCTTATTGGACGACTTTTGTATCTTACAAATACGCGATCAAATATAAGTTTCACTGTTAATTTTCTAAGTTAGTTTAATCAAAAGCCCATCGTCTTCCATCAAGTCGCTGCCAATCGTATACTTCGTTATTTGAAAGCTAATCCTGGTCAAGGTTTGTTTTCTCTTCCAATTCCAACATTCAATTGAAAGGATTTAGTGATTCAGATTGGGCTTCATGTTTGACAACTCGTCGCTCTACCACTCGGATTCCGTATCTTTTTGGGTAATTCGTTGATTTCTTGGCGATCAAAAAAACAACACACTCGCTTCTCGTTCCTCAACGAAGCGAGAATACGGGGCTCTTGCTATCACCAACTGCGAGCTTCAATGGCTCAATTACTTGCTTCATGATTTCAACATCTCCAAGCCCAATCAAGTTGTCATCTATTGTGATAACCAAGTCGCTCGTCACATTGCTACTCATTCTAGCTTTCATGAACGCACCAAACACATTGACATTGATTGTCATGTGGTCGGAGATCGTGTGCGTGCCAACCTCTTCCATCTTCTTCCCATTTCCTCTACAAATCAACTTGCGGATGTTTTCACCAAAGCTCTCGATCCTTCACCTTTTCTTAACAATATTTCCAAGCTCGGGTGTTCTTAATATTCACTCTCCAGACTTGAGGGGAGGCTATTAGTTACACGTGTACCTTTTCCATTTGTTAGTATTGTTTTATGCAGGTTTGACTAACTGCATATTTGACTTTTTTTCCTTTTTATATTTAACCTTCTTTTCTTCCTCAAACATATTGGATTTTCCTTTTGTATTCGATCAGTATATGAATTAGATCAGTTTTTTCTTCTCTGCTATTTTCTCCAAAATTCTCAATGGGATCCATGTTTTTACGTTAATGTGAGATATTTTTTTTACCATTTGAATTAGGAAGTCACTCTTTTGGAATGTAATTTTACATATCAATCCAAAAAATAAAAAGGGTGCTACAGGAAGGAAAGATTGGAATGGAGAAATTAACGGTCTTTTCCTGAAAAATAAGTTTTCAAAAATAAGCCCAGCCTAATTTATTTAATTGGCCCAGACGGTCATGCTGTAAAATTAGTATCGTGATATATTATAAAACGGGCAAAACAGGTCAATTTTGGTCCATCCACCTTTGGCCCGTTAAAATGTGGCACCCGGGTAGGTTGAGTCATTATAGTAAGGAAGGATTATAAACCTTAATTCGTTTTGTCAAAGAATGTGTTGTCAATAATTTTTTTATATAAATATTTTTATATAAATTAAAAAAAAGTATATATTTAATTATATGAATAATTTTTAATTTATTAATTAATATTTTTATTAAATAAATTATTATATTTATGTGTCAAAATAATTAATTATATTTAATAATTTAAATTTAATTATTTAATTTTATAATTTAAATTATATTATTATAATATATGTAGATATTTCAATATTATAATAAAAAAATATATAATATTTTTAATTATAATTATTTTTATTTTTATTTTAGTATATAAATATTGTTTTAAAGTATGTCGATAAGTTGACGAGTCCATCTCACCCTACCCTTGGTTCGTCAAATTAGCGGACTAGATGGGACAAGTCAAAATGAACTGACGACTAAAACAACTATAACCTCGTCTCACTATTTTTTAAACGAGCTGATAGACCGGTCTATCAAGCCTAACCCATTTTACCATCTTTATGATCAAATAAATTTTGCAATGAACAAAAGCCAATTCGACATTATCTAAAAATGCTTTTAAATAAAAATATTTTTAAGCAAAAGTCTCATAAAATTTTATCTCATTTGGCATTCAAACAAACTTCGGATCAAGAATACAAATGAATTATATGTACGTAATTATTGATTGGGTGGGATTTGAGGTATAAATTATTATAAAACCAAGTGTTTTTACACCATATCAAAATGAGAGTTTTCTAAATTTATTCTCTGTGTTCAAAATATTATCCATTTTAGAACTCTGATTCTTTATAGATTTATTATTAAAAGACAATTCAATATATTAAAAGATATATAAACTATCTTTTCAGCACAACTCTTAAGCAACAACGTTTGTCATGGAAAAGAATTACATGCACAAACTTCATGTAAAAGAGACCTCAGCTTAATGTTCAACAAGAACAGATAGAGAAGACATTTCATGTAGAGAATTGATTCAAGTCGCTAAACTAAGTCATATGAGTACAGTTTGATATGCATCAGTATCTTCATATATTAAACCGATAGTGCCTTGCCACAATGTTCTTGTCAAAGGCTGCAAATTGGTGCTAATGGAATAGGCAGCACGGGTACATGATGTTTCAGGCAGATTCATCTGTTTGAGGACCATAAACTGTTGTCAACCACCGTGACAAATTGATCAAGAATGGCGTATACACGAAGTAGCAAGTGAGTGTCCAAGTGACCAGTCCCTGCACATGGTGTTGGGAGGTGGAATGAGAAAGAGAAATTATCAACAAGGTCAAAAAATTAATAAAAGGCTTTAGAGCTGGGAACTGTTTGCAGTATGATGCACCTGGCCAAAGATTTCAATGTTGGCCTGAGGGTAATACCAAAGGTGGAAGAACCTAAAAGAAGCATATGCAAAAGAGAAGCATCCATGAATAGCCAGCCACACATATTTAAAACTTCAATTGGTCATGATGCAGACAGAGCAAACACTGAAATGTAAGAAAGAAACGACTTTACTTCATAATTGGAACTTCAGCCAGTGGGCAACCAAGGCCAACAGTGCATGCCAAGGTGAAACCTAGCCATGTCCTATCCAAGAAAAACCATATGAACTCTGCTGCAGCAAATAATATGTAGGCCTCTATGTTGTCCGCTATTCCACCTTTGTAAAGTTCAGCACTCAATTCAATAAACAGTGCCAGCAATCTAGGACAGGACAACCTCGTAAGGTTTGAATATCATTTTAATTTATGAAAATTTCAAGATTTAATATTTTAGTCTTTATAAATATATTATCCATTTTTAGTTCTTATACCCTAAATTGATATAGTTGTAGTTGCTCATTGCACGTTTTTTAATTTCAAAAAGTAAGATTTAAACCATATTACTTTATTGAACTGAGGACTAAAATGAACGGTTGATACTTTACTTACATTAGTGAGACAATTGTTTTTACCAAACTTGCCTCTTGAACCTTGTTGAAGAACTTTTGGTCTAGGTAGAGTTGAAGCAAACCAACAGAGGAATAAAATAAGCCCAGCAAGAAAGGAACCTATGGATTTGGATTTTGGAGAAGATAAATTAAAGGGTGAAGCCGATAGTACGGAAATATGCAAATTGCAGAAAGAAGAGTACACAAAATTGAAGTTGAAACCCACCCAGATGTTAGTGTGGAGTGGACCTATGTCAATGGAGCCTGAGTTGTAGACGACGAGATTGACCCTTGAATGGAGTCCATCGAGAAGGGGACCTAGTAAGAAGCCTGTGCCAAAAAGTGTAAGTGAGACTGAAGGCCATGAAGTTGTAAGGTTTGTTCGGCTCTGTTGTCTCTGAGCACAGTGAGGCTTAAGCAAACCCCATTTGCGTATTCTGGTAAGAGGGTTACTGTGGTGGAGGAGAGTATAACCATGAACAAAGGAAGAGGTAGCAGATGAAGATGAAGATGCGGATGCAAGAAGGCAATGCATATTATCCCTCTTTTCTAATTCGGTTAGTTTTTGACACAAAAACAGAAGGGATTGTACATTTTCTTGATTTATTTTATATCTTAGGTTTGATTTCTTTTATAAATATTTATAAATATGAAAAAATAGTATTTTTTATAATTACCATATACATATATTGTTTTAAAAAAAATCGTTTTAGATTTTTTTTTAAATCATATTTAAATTTTTTTTTCAAATCTTTTTTTTTTTAATAAAAAACTCAATACTCATGTTACTGTCTATCCCATCGTTTTTGACCATATAAATTAAAACATGCCAGTTTTAAATTATGATTTCCGTCTTTAGTATCTTATAATTTTTTTAATTATAACTATTTAAAAAAAATATTTTTCACCCTTCTAATTTTTGTATTAGACTCAATATTAAACTAAAATGTGTTTTATTTTTTTTAAATCAACAAATTAAATTTTATTAAAAGAATATCATAAATACCTTATGTATAAATATAATAATAGTGTTCAAGTCAAAAAACATATTAAGTTGCAAATTTTGTTTCTAGTGTTTTTATCATCGATGCTAAAAAAATTATTTACTGAAGAGACGGATTGATTTATGTGGGTTAGTTTTAGTAGTGGATTTTCTTTGAAGTTGTGTGGGTTATAATTTCCAATTTTTTTAAAGATATATATTTATGATTTTGAGCTCTTTCAATTTAATAATAATTAAATATATTTATATATGTTTATAATTTTAGTTTCTTATTTTTTTTATATTTTTACTTTTTTATATTTATTTATTATTTATTAATAATATATGATTTGTTGTGAAATTTACCAGTTATTACTTTTATTTATTTTATCTTGATTGATTCATCTGTACCATTTTTGGTATACTCATGAATTGAGAAGTTGCAAACTTTTAGTTGTTGCAATTTCCACTCCCAATGATAGTTTAACACATTATTTATTGTTAATGTGCGTTGAAACACAATGAGATTTTATATATTGGTGCCAGTTAAAGTAGACTTTTGTTTGCTCTCCATAGTGTTGTCAGATTGATAGGTTTGTTGTTATGTCAATTCGAACTTCCTCGATCGGTTCCATTACGACTTTATAATGCAATTACATTCTCTATTTCAATTGTTGTTTTTATTTCTTTAATAGTTATTCATCGCGTTGATTCTATGTTAAGGTAAAATATATTTTACAATTAACCGTTATACAAATACTTGTGTTTAATAAAATTAAAATATTTGGTTTGATTTTAAACATCATCTAACAACATTTGTTGAGACAATTTATCCATGTCCAAAATACATCAAGGAAAGACTTCAAAAACTTGAAAACTCTTATTTTATATATATATATGATTAATTACGATCTTTTATAAAATCAAACTTTCTTTAAATCACGTATATTCGCATAGTCATCACTTAAGGCTTAAGGAAAATAAAATTAATTACTTATTTAATCATGATAATTAAAACTTAACAAAGTAATTGATATTACATTAAAATCAGACAAAATATTTAAATTATTTTAATTAAATATGTCATAGTTATTATATAAAAAACATATTTTATCCCAAAAACCCCCGTATTACTATCTAAATAATCTTCTAAATTGTTGAACACACCTTAATCATCCTTAGTTAGGTTTATTTTGTTATGGGTCGTATAGATGATCAATCTCAAAAATACACCTTAATCTATTATACCTTTATTCTTATTTTTTTCTCCTCATATTTTATTTTTAAATTTATTTTAAATTTAATATTCATGGTAGACAAATATAATATTAGGAATAAATAATATTTATCTTAATTGTATTTATAATATTTGATAGTAAAATAATTTTATAATAAAAATATGATTATAATTATAATAATAATAAATTTAGATGCACGATTTAATAATTACAACTAAAACATCTTAATCACTTTGAATGCATATCACAACAAATAAATAATAATAATAATAATAAATATATAAATATAAATAAAAAAATCAAAATATGTGACTCTAACTTATTTTAAAACTGGTAGAAGAAAATATAATAAGTATTTCTTTTAATTAAAACCCTTTGTATAAAATTAATTAAAATCACTTTAAATATTTCTAATTTTGATTATCAAAAAATTATTTCTAATATAATGGTAATAATTAAATCAAATTTATTACTTACAAATATTTTTTAAATAATTACATTAATATGTTCTTCATTGCACTTAGAAATAGGTAGGAGTAGAGAAAGATAATTTATGTCCAACCTAACAAATCTTAAAAATATATTATCTTTTATTTTTAATAAAAATATTTAATTTCAAAATATTTATAGGTATATAGTATGATATTATTTAAATTTAAAGGGATACAATAAATATTTTTTAAGATATTTAACTTTTTTCATATTTAATTAAAGATAATCTTGGTATAATCAACTTTCAACTCCAAATCTATTTTCGAATATCATTTTCTTTTAAAATATTTTTTATAGTTTTCTTTAATAAAATATAGTTAGAATTCATTTGGTTAAGATTTTTTTTTTTGCTGAGACAAAGGATGAGCGCGCAGCGTTAGCCACTTAGCTAAAAGCTTTAGCACTTAGCCCCTGGTCCCACCACGCTTCCGCGACTCTGATTCCCCCGCTCTTCGGGAATCTCGAGGGGACTTACCACACGCTGCCCCAATTCCGTCCTCGGCAGGAATCGAGCACGCGGCCTCGCTCTGATACCAAAGGATGAGCGCGCAGCGTTAGCCACTTAGCTAAAAGCTTAAGCTGTAAGTAAGGGTTCACACTTATTACTTTAACCACCGGTCCCACCACGCTTCCGCGACTCTGATTCCCCCGCTCTTCGGGAATCTCGAGGGGACTTACCACACGCTGCCCCAATTCCGTCCTCGGCAGGAATCGAGCACGCGGCCTCGCTCTGATAATATATAGAAGTAAAAGGCATAATATATAGAGTATTGGAAAGCAAAAACAACTTAACAACTCAGGGGCAAAAGACTGAACAGGTGGCATGGGCTAAGCTAATGAGTGGTGTTGTAGTGGTGGATGAATAATATAACATCCCCCCTCAAGCAAGGAATAGATATTCATCATTCCCAACTTGGTACGCAAATTATTAAAGATGGTACAGTAAAATATCAGTTGCTTGAAGGACTGAAGAAATTGATGGGAAATTTTAGGGTTTTGTGTATATGTATTTCCGATATATCATGTGGGTATATTTCTATTCATGTACTATATATATATATATAGAGAGAGTAAAAATATTACAAAATATCAAATATCAATAATATCTCAATCATAACTACCTAAATCAAAATAATAACCTAATATATTTTTATCTTCTCTCTTAAAAGATAATAAACTCTCTTAATACCTAATTTAAATAAAAGATAATAAAGTAATATTCCTAACATTTCTCCTTACTTTAATATCTATTTATTTGAATTTAATATTCTTTCTTTTATTTTACATATAATTTTTCCTCCTTTTTTATTTGTACTTCTTGTCATCTTCCTTTTTGTATGGGATCACATCTTCATTCAACTTCATTTTCTTCATCAAAGTATTTCTTCCTTTATCAACTTCATCTCATTTGTTTCTTTCAAACTTCATGGTAGTATCTTGTTGACTCTATGATGGACGTTGAAAACGGTTTCTTTATCTACATCTTTATTTTCTTCCTTAACATCAAGTTCCTTCAAGAAATCTTCTTCATGCTTTTTCTTTGACTTTTCTTTTATATCTTTGTTTGTAATCAACTCTTCTTTCATCAAATCTAAAGTGAAAATTTTTCCTTTCATGTGAACTTTGAATATTTCCAAGTTATTTGTATCTTTAATCACACAAAGTTTGTGTTCAAAAGAAACCTTATATTTTTTCTCCAATAATTGAGCAACACTTAACAAATTATGATTAATATCAGAAACATATAAAACATCAAAAATTAATTTGATACCCGAATGACTTTTAACTGCAATTGTTCCTATACCTTTCATGTTCATTTGTTCTCCATTACCGATTCTCACTTTAGAAATATGTGATTCGTTGAGCTCTTTGAAAAATTTTCGATCATGAGTCATGTGGTTTGTACAACCACTGTTTATAAGCCAACATGTGGATTTGTTATTTGTAGAGCATGTTGATGCAAGGAGAAGCTCTCCTTCTACTCCATCCTCTATAATCTTGACGAATTCTTCTGATTTTAATTTGCATATCTTTTCTATATGTCCCAATTGACCACATTTTTTACATTTCAAATCAGGCATCCACCAACATTTGATGGGTGTGTGATTATTTTTCTTGCAATAAGGACAAACAGAAAAGACTCGTGATTTTGTACCTTTGTTATTCTTGGCTTGGAGAGAACCTCCATCATGATATAGTAAAGAACCTTGACCAGCAGCATGATCTCCTCTCATCAATTTTCGTTGTTCTTGCGCTTGTAAAGCATGTAGAACTTCTGTCAAAGTAATATTAGATAAATCCTTTGTATTTTCCAATGAAGCAATATATGTTTCATATCTCTCTGGCATAGTTACCAGAATTTTCTCAACTATTCTAGAATCAGAAAATTCATTGCCTAACAATTTTATTTTGTTAGCAATACCTAATAATTTGTTTGAGTATTCATTAATTGTTTGAGACTCTTGCATCTTTTGTATCTCAAATTCCCTTATCAAGTTTAAAACTTTCATACCTTGAATTTTCTCATCCCCTTCATATTGATCTTTCAAATAATCCCAAATTTTTTTGGGTGACTTTAGCGTCATGATTCTGGTGAGGATCATTTGTGAAACATCAGCAAACAGACATGAATTATCTTTTTCCTTCCTCATTTTTCTTTCTCTGTGAAATTTCATTTCAGCTATGGTGAGATTTTCAGGTAGTGGATCAACAATATAATCTTCTTCTACAGCTTCCCATACATCCAATCCTTCAAGATAAGATTGCATTCTCACAGCCTATAAGTTATAACTTTTGCCATCAAAAATTGGAATAACGACTTGT